AAATAAAATAAAAAAGAAACATGGTCAAATCTCAGAACAAAAAATTTGTCTTCATTACCTATCTTTCCTCTTTTACATTCTCTATTTTCACATGAATTTGAACTTGAAAAAGGATCTGAGAAAATGGCTTTAGTGTGAAAACATGTAACTAACATTGAGAGACCATTTTAAAAGAAAACTTAATCCAATACAGAGGAAAAACAGAAGATCTCACCAGAAAGAGTTTTATAGACCTTAATTAGTATCAAGTTATTTGTGCTTACTAGTAGAAGTGACAAATTCGGGGTCTTGTATTTGGGTAGATAATTGTAAGGGGAATTCATAAGGTTATATGTCAGGGTAATAAGCCTGGTATCTTTGACAATATGTTTCTTTTTTCCCAGGTATACCTCAAAAGGATCATGTGTTTATGCCATTTTTCTGCACTGGCCAGAAAATGGAGTCTTAAGCCTTGCATTCCCTATTACTACCTCAAGTACAACGGTAAGAAGCCTTGGTCAGTCCCAGGACATAACGTTTCCTAAAGGAATTGGCAGACCTTTTCTACATCTTCCTTTTTCTCCCCAAGTTTCCCCCATATTTATTTCTTTGACTATCTTTCCATCACTGGCCCAGCATAGTTGTTTACCACCATGTTCAGGCTCTATCTTGTGCTCATTAATGCATTACTGGTTTTGTGGTTTGTTTTTTTTTTGAAACAGAATCTCAAGCTCTTGCCCTGGGTAGAATGCCATGGCGTCATAGCTCACAGCAACTTCCAACTTGTGCTCAAGTGATCCTCTTTCCTCAGTTTTTCTGTTTTTCTATTTTTAGTAGAGATTGGATTTCACTTTTGTTCAGGATGGTCTTGAACTCGTGCGTGCACTCAAGTAATCCACCGGCCTTGGCCTCCCAGAATGCTAGGATTACAGGTGTGAGCCACCAAGCCCAGCGGCATGACTGGTTTTTTTCTATTCCTTTTTTGTTTTCTGCAGATAACGATGTTGGGAATCCAGGAAGATCTGAAGTGGTCCACAGATCCAATAAAAGGTCTCCTCATCAATCTGCCCCAGTTGCCACCCTCTGCTCTTCCAGTGCAGTTTGCTTGGACTGTAAAGCTGACAGGCGTGAAGTGATATTTGAGTTCAAGAGGAAAGGAATGCCCCCTGCTGTTTGCTGCTTTAATTTCCTCTTACGGTACCATCATTGTAATAAAACAACTTTTCTTCCCCACCCAGAGATGGCTTTTCCAACACATTTTAATCAAAGGAACTAAGTGCATTACATTGACGTCTTAATCAAGCAAAAATCTGAGGTCCTTGGCTGGTATCTCTATCTGGTCAGCCAAAGAAGGGATTAAACAGCTAAACTAAACTCTTGAGTCCATCCATTTTTACATTTGGGAATCCTCTACAATGGAACCTTCCCTCCATTCTGTGTTTGATAGCCTACTTGCTTACTCAGTGACTTTAGTAAAAGAATAAGCCATATCACCCTGTTGCCTTTTCAAGGAGTGGAAAGGATTTGGCAAGCTATATAGTATCAGTTGTCACCAACACTCCTCCCCCAAAGGGTAGAAGAGCCTGGAGGGGAAGGAAAAGGCCTGCCAGGCAGCTGATGGTCAACTCTTTCTAATTTCTAAAGCAAACCAAGAGCTTCAGAATTCAGTATGTTTGCGTTGATCATTTTAAGGAAATGAATGTGATTCTGCTCTGTCTTTTAAATATGATCAAATAAATTTGTATTTCAAGTCATTTCTACCAAAAAGCATATATATTGTAGCTTTCTTTTCCTAGTTTGAATTTGGACTGTTTTTGGTTTTATGATCAATTTCTGGCTTGTTTGTTTTGTTTGTTTTTAAAAAAAGGAAAGCTTGCCAAGTCTCAGTGCTGAACAAAGAATAGAATTCCTTTGGTTTTTGTGCTCCTCGCTTCTAGTACCATTCTTCTGAGTTGACTACCAGTTCAGCCTCTGTAGTGTTATAGAGCGCACCAGTTCTCTATTTCTTTATTATTTAATATATATATATTTAGAAATCTTTACCCAGTATTTCATGAATATATGTTTTTCTCAAGTATTTATGGAATATTTGCAAATCTCAAATACCAAAGAAGCAGTACCACAAACCATATAGTTTGTCCACAACATAATTAAAGGATAATAACAACTTGGGGGGAAAAAACTATATTTGGAAATTTTTAATTTTTTTTTTTTTTTTGAGACAGTCTTACTCTGTCACCATGTGCTGAGTGCTGTGGTTGTCACAGCCCACAGCAACCTCAAACTCCTTGTCTCAAGCAATCCTCTTGCCTCAGCCTCTCAAGTAGCTGGGACTACAGGCACCCGCCACCATATGCAACTAGTTTTTCTTTTTTCTTTTTCTCTTGAGACAGAGTCTCACTATGTCATCCTCGGTGGAGTACTATGGCGTCACAGCTCACAGCAACCTCCAACTGTTGGGCTTAAAGAGATTCTCTTGCCTCAGTCTCCTAAGTACCTGGGACTACAGGCGCCTGCCACAATGCCTGGCTATTTTTGTTGCAGTTGTCATTGTTGTTTAGCTGGCCCAAGTGGGGTCTGAATCCGCCACCCTTGGTGTATGTGGCTGGTGCCGTAACCACCGTGCTACGGGCACCAAGCCCCAACTAGTTTTTCTATTTTTAGTAGAGACAAGCTCTTGCTCAGGCTAGTCTCAAACTCCTGAGCTCAGATAATCCACCTGCTTTGGCCTCCCAGAGTGCTAGGATTACAGGCATGAGCCACCACGCCTGGCCTTTTTTTGTTGTTTGTTTGTTTTGAGACAGAGTCTCATTATGTTGCCCTTAATAGAGTGCTGTGGTGTCACAGCTCACAGCAACCTCCAACTCTTGGACTCAAACAATTCTTTTGCCTTGGCCTCCTGACTCCTGAGTAGCTGGGATTACATGCATCTGCCACAACGCTGGCTACTTTTTTTGTTGCAGTTGTCATTGTTGGTTAGTTGGCCTGGACTGGGTTTGAACCTGCCAACTTCAGTGTATGTGGCCAGTGCTGTAACCACTGTGCTACAGGTGCTGAGCCCCCACCTGGCCTTAAAATACTTCTAAATAACTATTTGGTTAAAAAAGTTAACATATGAGGAATTAGAAAATACTTAGAATGGTAATGAAAACACTTATTGAAACCTGTGAAATGTAGCTTTAAAAAAAAGTACCCTCAGGAAAATGTATAACCTTAAATTATCATTATTATTATTGTTAAAGAGATAATTAATAATTAAATAATAATAATAATTAATTATTATTTTAGAGATAAGGTCTTGCTATGTTGCCCAGCTGGACTGGAACTCCTGGCCTCAAGCAATCTTCCTACCTCCCAAAGCTCTGGGACTATAGGCGTAAACCTCTGCACCCGGCCAAAATTTTTAGAAATGAAAAATACTATACACCAAGATTAAAAACAACAGATAAAGGGTGGCGCCTGTGGCTCAAAGGAGTAGGGCACCGGCCTCATATGCCAGAGGTGGCAGGTTCAAACCCAGCCCTGGCCAAAAACTGCAAAAAAAACTCAGATAAAATGAACACATTTCTAGAAAGTAACATAAAGCAAAATGGCTTAAGGAGACATAGACAACATGAAAGTCCTCTAACATTAAAAGAAATTGAGTCAAAAATGCACAATCTTCTTGCAAAGAAAACACCAGACCCAGAGGGTTTTACAGGTTAGTCGCACAAAACTTCCAATGAGGCTGGAAGTCTCATAGTTTTTAAAATAACAGAAAAAAGAATCATTAATAAAACGAATAACTTTGATACCACACAGTTAGACAAGAGTAAAATATAGGAATTGCCCTGTCCACTCATGAACAAAGATGCAAAAAGTTTATCCAAGCACAGAGTGTGAGGATGAGCTACCTGGAAACACCAGCTCCAAAGGAATGGAGTCGGTGTTCCAAAGTGGGGAAAGAAAGATGTCATTTATATAGGCAGAGACAGAGAATTGTTTTAGAAGGATTACAACATTATTCATAAAAGGTTTACTATTTGGTTATAAGCAGTGTTTTTGAGAAGGATACATAAACATTTTTAATTCTCTTTAGCCATTGTACAGAATAAGAAAAATAACATGAGACAGGGCTCATAACTGTAGACCTAGTGATTGTCCTGCCTCAGTCTCCTGAATAGCTAGCACTACAGGGACCCACTGCAACACCCTGCTAATTTTTCTATTTTTAGTAGAGACAGGGTCTCGCTTTGCTCAGGCTGATCTTGAACTCCTGAGCTCAAATAATCCACCCACCTTGGCCTCCCAGAGTGCTAGGATTATAAAGCCTAGCCACTCATATAAAATTTCAAAGGGGTTGAAGGCATGGTGGCTCACACCTAATCCTAGGACTCTTGGAGGCTAAGGCAGGTGGACTGTTTGAGCTCAAGAGTTCAAGACTAAGGCGGCACCTGTGGCTCATTCGGTAGGGTGCCGTCCCCATATACCAAGGGTGGCAGGTTCGAACCTGGCCCCAGCCAAACTCCTACAAAAAGTAGCCAGGCATTGTGGTAGGCACCTGTAGTCTCAGCTACTTGGGAGGCTGAGGCCAGAGAATCGCCTAAGCCCAAGAGTTGGAGGTTGCTGTGAGCTGTGATGCCACTGCACTATGGAGGGCGAGAGGGTGAGACTGTCTTCAGGAAAAAAAAAAAAAAAGTGTTCAAGACTCTCCTAAACAAGAGGGTGACCCTGTATCTATGAAAAATTAGTTGGGTGTTGCCGATAGTCCCAGCTACCTGAGAGGCTGAGGCAAGAGATCACTTGAGCCCAAAAGTATGAGATTGCTGTGAGCTATGAGACCCTTGCACTCTACCCAAAGTGACACAATGAGACTGTCTCAAAATAAATAAAATTTAAAGGGGGCAAGTGCCATCTTCTGGGATCCACTGAAATTTTCAATAGGACAAGAGGTAACACTTTGTCCCAAGTTAAATTAGTCTCTTGATAAATTTTGGAGAGAGTTTTTTGGGTTTTTTTAAGATTATTATTAAATAATAATAATGATTATTATTATTCATCCATTCAGTTGTCCTTGAAGACTCCATGATTAATGCAGTTTCTAATCTATTTTTTTTAAATCTTTGGTTTTTGGGGTGATTGTGGCAATGAAGGCTGCTCTGTTGTCACTTTGGAGAAGTGATAGAAGTCCAAACCTAGGAATAATTTCCTTTAAAAGACCTTAGTGACTACTGATGCTCAGCCCTTGTGGGTTAAGCTTCAACCTATCCTGTTGGCTGGTAACCACAGCATATCCAGCTTTGTGTGTCCATGCTCCATGAAGCTATGCCCATCTATGAAGAATTTCTCATCTGGGTCTGACAAGGGCTGATCAGTATAATCTGGGCAGCTAGAATACACTCAATAATTTGAATGCCATCATAAACCCCGGAGGGAGAGTCCATAAGGCAGCAAAGTGGCAGGATTCAAAGTGCACACTGTCTTTAAAGTTACATTAGGGCTTGGTGTCCATAGCTCAGTGGTTAGGGCGCCTGCCACATACACCAAGGTAGGCGGGTTTGAACCCGGCCCCCGCCAAACTGCAACAACAAAAAAATAGCTGGGCGTTGTGGCTAGCACCTGGAGTCCCAGCTACTCGGGAGGCTGAGGCAAGAGAATCACCTAAGCCCAGGAGTTGGAGGTTGCTGTGAGTTGTGACACTACCGCACTCTACCAAGGGTGATAAAGTGAGACTATGTCTCTTAAAAAAAAAAAAATAGCTGGGTGTGGTGGCAGGCACCTGTAGTCCCAACTATGTGGGAGGCTGAGCAAGAGAATCGCTTAAGCCCAAGAGTTTGAGGTTGCTGTGATGCCACAGCACTTTACCAAGGGCGACGTAGTGAGACTCTGTCTCCAAAAGAATAAAAATAAAAAGCAAACTTACATTAGGATTATCTAACAGTAGCCTTATTTGCCAACCATCAATTAGCCCCCCACTTCTGTTCAAGTAGAGGTAAAACATAACATCCAGTATGAACAGTTGCCGGCTGTCCAAGGACAAGCTTTTCAGCTTGTAAAATGTCACAGGTAGCAGGAACTGCTCTCAAACAAGTGGGCCATCCTTTTGCCACAGGTTGCTTATGAGCCCCCAAAGTTTGGGTTAATACCCCCCAGTTCAACCTCTTATCTTCCTCAAAGGAACGATCAAAAGGCTTGCACAAATCCAGGAGGCCCAGTATAGGAATAGTCCTCAGTTTTTCTTTAATAGTAAAAAAAAAAAAATGGAAACCAAAAAAACTTCTAACTTCTAACATCTAAGAGCTTCTGTCCATGTAAGGAGCTCTTTTTCCTAAGGCTTCAGAGAAAGATTTGGCTATTTGGCCAAAGCTAGGAATCTACTTCCAACAAAACTCTACCATACCCAGGAATGCTTGCAGCTTCTGGGGAGTGGTGGGGGCTGTTACCTGGTTTACAGCCTCCAGCCTGGGAGAAGGTTTTAGGCCTCCTGAGACTATTCAAGTCCCAAGTATTTGACAGTGGGCAGTTAAGATCTGGGCCTTTTTCTGGGCTGCTTTATATCCTTTAGCAGCTAAGAAATTCAATACAATTACAGCACGTTGCCTTGATTCAACATTAGTCTCACTTGCAATTTAAATATCATTTACATGATTTAAAATTACTCCCTCTTATGAGGGATTTTTTTTTTGGTTGGGATCAGATTTGAACCTATCACCTCCGGTATATGGGGCTGGCGCCCTACTCCTTGAGCCACAGGCGCCACCCAAAATTATTTTTTTTTTTAAATTCTAAACAGAATTTTTAATATCTGGGAGATTCAACTGGCATTTGATTTTAGTCCTTAAATCCTCCTTTTTTTTTTTTTTGAGACACAGTGCTCTGGCATCTTAGCTCACAGCAACCTCGAACTCTTGGCCTCAAGCAAATCCTCATGCCTCAGTCCTCAGCCTCCCGAGTAGCTGGGACTACAGGCACCCACCACAAAGCCTGGCGATTTTTTAGAGACGGGGGCTCGCTCTGGCTCAGGCTGGTCTAGAAACTGTGAACTCTGGCAATTCACCCGCTTCGGCCTCCCAGTGTTAGGATTACAGGGGTGAGCCACCGCGCCTAGCAGGGAAGCAAAGAATTCTTGTGATTCAGGAGCAGGGGGAATACAAAAGAAGACTTCTTTTAACTCTATCACTGAAAACCAAGCAAAATTGTCAGAGAGACTGGTGAGAAGAGCGTAAGGATTAGGTACCAAGGATGGGTGTCTTCTGCAATTTTGGCTTACTGTTCTCAGATCCTGAACAAACCGATATTCCTGGGCTCAACATACTTGAACTGGTAAATTGGGAGTATTACAAGGAAAGCGATATCCGTATTTTATTCATTTATTTACTTTATTTTTCTGAGACGAGTGTCTCATTCTGTCACCCTGGGTAGAGTGCTCTGGCGTCATAGCTCACAGCAACCTCAAACTTTTGGGCTCAAGCTATCCTCCTGCTTCAGCCTCCGGAGTAGCTGGGACTACAGGTGCCCGCCACAATGCCAGGCTATCTTATTCATTTTTCAAGGTATGAAACCAACGGATGACCAACATGTTGCTTCATTAACGTGTATTCATCATAAATTTCTTTTTAAGGTTGTTTTTGGATTTATTATTAGTAGAGTTTGCATTTTCTTGCAATTAAATTTATAAAATGTCAAAAAAAAAAAAAAAAGAAAAACCAAAGGATGCTAACCTTTCCATCGCTGAATGCCTGCATTCGAACCCTGAAGATCGTGATGAATAAGTTAATGCGTGCAAAGAACTCAAAACAGTGAGTGGCAAACAGTAATGCTGCTTCTTGTGACAGAAATTATACAACTGTAGTGTGATCATTAATATCTATGTACTCACATCTCCAGACTCCAAACCCATAAAGCCACAGACTTTGGCTAATTTTTGTTCAACTTTACATTCCTAGCGCCTCATTTGGCCTGGCCTGTAAGAAGAGCTCATAAAAACACTAAAGGAACAAGACCGGACTGGCCAGAAAGAATAAAACGGACAGGATGCAGGTAGAGCCAACTCAGGGCGTCACTGCAGCGCTCCTGACCCTGGGGCCACGCCCACCTCGTCGTGAGGTGGTCACGTGGCGCCGCGGGATCAGCTGGGCCAAGATGGCGACGATGAGGAGAGCGCTTCCTGGGCGACTGGTGGGCTTGGCGTCCCTCCGGGCTGTAAGTGCCCCGGGTCGCTGAGGGGGCTGTCCAGCAGGCACCGTGACGGTCGGGGTCGAGGGCTTGGCCCGTGGCAGCTTGTCTGTGAGAGGCGAAAGCGGACACTCTTCAAGCCATAGTCGGGAGGGTGCTGGAGTCTTGAACCCTCCCAAATCCTTTGAAGGGTAGGAAAAAAGCAAGGTTCGGAGAGATGGAACGACCTGCTCAGGTCTTAGAGACCTAGGATGCCATCCCAGGCGTTTTGATTCCCTGTCCATGGCCCTTACTGGTGATCCAGGCCTCTTTCCCCAGTTGAGTTTCAGATTTTTTATAAGTCTTAGTGAAAATCACGAACACTCTTCAAGTTCTGCATGGGAAAAGCAAGGTTGCTCCTACCTCCGCCTCCATTTCCAACTCTTATTACTTAGAAAGACGCTTGGGGAGCTAGCCCATGGAACCAAGCAGGACTTGGGTCGCCTGGAGTCAGGCTGTGTGATCCCTTGGAATTGTACTTTGGGCCTGGTGAAATCTGATGTTTTCCTCTCTCTCCCAAAGTGTAGGAGACCTAGCTGGTATAAAAGGTTGGGTACATTGTGCTTGTTAAAGCTCAGATTGTGGTGTCCTGGTGGTTCTGCCGCTTTTTAGACTGACATTCTCTCTAAACTCAGTTTTCTCATCTGTAAAACGTATAGCATTATCTTGGGTTTGTACTGGAAATTAGCAAAAATGTAGGTAAAGCATTTGACATGAATGCCTTTTTTTTTTTTTTTTTTGAAGCAGTCTCACTCTGTTGCCCTGGCAGAGTACCCTGGTATTCCAATAGATTATAGCAACCTCAAACAATCCCCTTGCCTCAGCCTCTAGAAACTACAAGCATGGACCACCATGGGCTAGTTTTTTCTGTTTTTATTAGCGACAACGTCTGACTCCTGCTCAGGCTCATTTGGAACTCCTCAGCTCAAGCGGTCAACTCCCCTTAACCTCCCAGAGTGCTAGGATTATAACCAGGTGGGGCCCTGTTCTGGCAGTTCATCAATGTTGGTGAAGACTTACACCCACTTGGGGGAGGAAGAAATTACACTCTGCTGGCAGTGGGTCCCTCCCAGAAAGCCATGTTAGTGTTGTTGTTTTTTTGTTGTTGTTGTTTTGTTTTGCAGTTTTTGGCTGGGGCGGGGTTTGAACCTGCCACCTCCGGTATATGGGGCTGGCCTCCTACTCCTTTGAACCACAGGTGCCGCCCCATTTTAGTGTTCAAGCCACTCACCTCCACCAATTGCTCATCTGCAAAATGAAGATGGTCATTTCAGTATGCAAAGTTAGAAAGATTAAAGGAGATGGTGGTGGCGCCTGTAGCTCCATGAGTAGGGTGCCAGCCACATACACAGAAACTAGCAGGTTTGAACTGATCTGGGCCAATTAAAACAACAAAGATAACCGCAACAACAAAAATAGCCAGGTAGTGTGGCAGGCTCCTGTAGTCCCAGGTACTTGGGAGACTAAAGCAAGAGAATCACTTAAGCCCAAGAGTTTAAGGTTGCTGTGAGCTGTGATACCATGGTACTCTACCCAGGGCAAGCTTGAGACTCTGTCTCAAAAAAATTAAAAAAGATGGTGGGCATTAATGTACTCTTAAAAAGTCCCTGGTTGAAAATACACATAGGGTGCAAAAAAAATAATATACACATTCATATATATTTTTTTTGAGACAAGAGTCTCACTTTGTCGCCCACAGTAGAGTGCTGTGGCGTCACAGTGCAGAGCAACCTTAAACTCTTGGGCTCAAACGGTTCTTTTGCTTCAGCCTCCCAAGTAGCTGGGACTACAGGTGTCTGCCACAATGCTTGGCTATTTTTAGACAGACTCTTGCTCTTGCTCAGGCTGATCTTGAACCAATCGGCCTGCCAGAGTGTTAGGATTACGGGCTTGAGCCACCTCACCTGGTCTGCTGTGTACACAATTTAAGAAAGGAAAAAACTCCATTGAATTTGCAATACTCAGTGGTGCCTGTGGCTCAGTGAGTAGACGCCGGCCCCATATACCAAGGGTGGTGGGTTCTAACCCGGCCCTGGCCAAACTGCAACAAAAAAAATAGCTGGGCATTGTGGCAGGTGCCTGTAGTCCCAGCTACTCCGGAGGCTGAGACAAGAGAATCACCTAAGCCCAAGAGCTG